CTCACTCTTGCAATGGGTCTCAAAATCTCCTTCATTATTGAACTATCTCGATGACATCTTCATTGGAACCATCATTCCATTCTCTTATTGTCTTTCACAGTCCATGAAATTGACCTACCAGATTCTCATTTTCTGTCTCATTTGATGAAGTATCCTATACTTGCAATGGAGACTGTGTCTAGTGCAAATGAATGTTTTCTATGTCGGAATATAAGTCAGGAGGTGATCGATTGATTGATTGATGTTTCCGAATTTTAAAATATATAATATACCTATAAAAAGACTGAGATGGGGTGGAACTTTGATTGTAGCATCTGGTTGCATTGGCTTCGACGTCCGAGTCACCAAAGCTGAAAGAGCACAAGCCAGTATACATTAAGACTTCAGATGCGGGCTATACACTTGCTTGAAAGTGAAACGGGCGCATCCGGGTTGCAAAAGGTCTAAATACATTAGATAGAGGTTATGTTGGCTCCTTATGCAATAATCAAATGGCTGAAGTCGACCATTCTAATATGAAGCATCTGTTCTGCGAAATTCGGCTCCATGGCCTCCTAGACTCGGACCCGTGACCCAGCCGTTGCTGCATAATGAATATTTCTACCATTTAGATATCCCTATTCCTTATCCCAATACATTGGATGGTAAAAGTGCCTCGAACCTCCTGGATGAAGCAACATCTGATTGAGCACATTTTGAATCCGCTCATCCACAAGAGGGAGCATTTGGGAGTAGTCCCATCATCCTTCCAACCCACTATCCTAAAAGATTAAGTATACATGATGAGCGGAAAAAGTATGCTCTGTGCTTGAATCTGCATCTGCCGCACACATTATAAATCGTTTGTGTCGGGTGCAAATTGTAATGAAATCAGTGCATTTCATTCTGCTCTAAAATGAAACGAGCTGCGGGGTTTCATTCCCCAGTATGAAGTCTAGGAAATGGAACACAACAAAATTTATCAGTATCACAGGAGCCACATTGTCTCAATTCCAATGGGTGTCAACAAGAGCCCCGTCATGCTTGAGATTTATTTATTTTCTGGAGCGCCATGACTTTTGCGAAGTCCAAAATTGGTCCATCGAAAGCTCCAATCCAAAGATCGTTTTTCCTTATGGAGAATTGGATAGTTCAGATCTAATTTGTAGCTTCAGTCTGGTGGTGAAGGCAATTTATGGCTAGAACTAGGCACTTTCGCTCGTTCAGGACGAAAAAATTGGTGATGTTGAACATTTGCGTCTATTTACCAGTTTGTGGTACATTTATTTCGTCCGGGGCTATTCCCTCCGATGCCCGATCGGTTAAATACCAAATTTTTTATATCTATATAGACATATATATATATCATAGTCCTATTTTAAAAATCAGCACAATAAAATGATGACGACGATGATATTATACACGTTCTTCCGCTGAAATAACCAATGGAATAGGCATTTTCTATGCCGTATATAATATGGGAAGACGACGCTCCCACTCTATTTTCGTCAACGGACGCCCGAACTCTCTTCTTTTTTATATTGATTTTTAAGTGTGATACACCGAATTGCGAAAATCCGTTCCACACGGATCACTGTCACCTCCAGTGCAACCATAAACGCAGCCCCCTCCCGCTCCATAACTGCCATATGAGTGATCACAATAGCATTCTCTCCCCACTTGTAAACCTGAAAAATTGAACCGTCGGTAAGAGATCTCTCGTCAACTCTCTTGGTGGATGAAGCAAAATTTGAATATGCATCACTTACCTGCATATGGATATCCTCTAGATCTGCAGTAACTGCGGCAATAAGCAACAGTCAAGCTGTCGCTGATGAATGGTTCGCCCCCGCCACCCATATCGCGATTTGAAGTGTCGTCAACGTAGCATCCAATGTAGATACTTGTTGGCGCCGGAGTCGGCTGTGGTGTCGGCTGTGGGGTTGGCTGTGGGGTTGGACTCTTGGAAGGAGAACTTGTCGGCACCTTTGATGGTGATGAGGAAGGATTTGAACTTGGATTGTCGGAAGGCGAGTCAGATGGCACATCGGATGGCACATCTGAAGGTGTCTCCGATGGGACGAATGATGGAATCATGGACGGAAGCGTCGAAGGGACAAAGGATGGAATCATGGAAGGAAGCGTCGACGGGACAAAAGATGGAACCGTCGAAGGAACTGACAATAACGAAACAAAAGTTAGAAGGAGATTCGATATGCAGTGGCAAGAAAGCGGTTCTGTTGTGCATCAGTATTCGCATCCGACATCCACACTTAATCGACATACCAAAACTGGGAACCTCTGAAGGCGACCTTGACGGGACTACAGCAGAAAATACATTTAGATACCCAAACCAAACCTTTCAGAACACCTATTTAGGATTGAATGATACATTTGACACTTACCTGTACTTGGTATCATAGAAGGCAAGGTTGATGGAACTGCAATCAAAACATGAGTCAGTCATCAGAATTATAGAGGTGTACCAGCGAAAAACAACTTTTTCCAAATGTACTCACCTGATGATGGACTATCGCTCGGAATTGTGGACGGAACATCCGAGGGCGACTCGCTAGGCACAACGCTTGGAACTGACGATGGTAGCATACTCGGCGACGTGGACGGTATCATGCTTGGGCTCTGGCTTGGAGACGTAGTCGGCTGACCCGAAAATACATTGGTGGGAGCAGATGATGGAAGGTCAGTCGGCTGGTGACTGGGCTGGAACGTGGGAAAGGCTGTGGTTGGGACGGCCACGCCTTCTTCTGAGACCTCGAGCGTCACCTTTTGGGCCCCTCCCTCTTCGTCCACATAGGCAAACTGGAATACGGCTTGTGTACTGCTTCGACTTCCTCCGCCGGTAGCGCTCCCCCCATCGCCAGCGCTACCACCGACACTGCCACTGGTGCTTCCGTTGGATGGATTTTTTCGCACATACTGAACTTCTGTCACCAACACATCCTCTTCTTCCTCCGTGATAACCCAAGCCTTCGAAACCTTAGTGAAGCCTTCTGGAAGCTCACCGACGTCAGTCAGCTCTTCGGTCTCGAAGATGACCAGTTGAATTAGTTTTTGGAAGAACTCTTGACTGTCAAAATTAATGCCTTGTAGCCATCGCGACTGTTCTATTTGTGTTTCCTCAGTGCTGTTCCCCCGATACGCTGTCGTGTTTGAGTTTGTACCGTTGGTCGCATTGATGGCCTGCGAGTTGTCACCTTGGATTGCAAGTTGATCTTCACTAAAAAGAGGGCTCGTCGGAGAGCATCGGTCGCAGGAAACAGTTGCCTCAAACAGTACCGTCAATGACGACGATCCGACGTCATCAAACAAGGCCTGATTCAACACGGAAATGCCCTGCATCTCACGAGCCAACGGATCCAAACAGCCAACTGATGCGACATCTGGGCCCAAGGTGATCTCATTGTAGGACTCCTTGACGAGATTTTCCACCAAACCTGTCTCTCTGTCGTCCAGAATTCTTGGAAAACCCTCAAAGTTCATGGTAAAGCGACCGTTCCTAATGTCTGGATTCGGAAGACCGCAAATTGACAAAATCGGTTCAACAGTGGGTGTCACGACCGCAACAGTAACAGCTGCTGATGTAGCAGCTACAGCAGCAGTGGAAATCGCCACAACAGCTGCCACTTGGGTGGCTGTGGCTGTAGATTGTGTTAGTGTGGCGCTAGATTTGAACATGCAAAGTGCTTCGCGTATCAAACTTACCTCCAGCCGCGGCAGCTGTGGCCCCGGCGGTTGCTGCAGCTGCTGCCGAAGATACGGCAGCTGGTTTGAAGCAAAAGCGCGTGAGATTGATATATTTAAAAATGCAGTGTGTCTTTCGGTTGTAGACCTTACCTCCAGCAGCGGCACCAGACGCAACTCCGCTGGCGGCTCCGCTGGCTGCACTTGAAGCAGCTTGAGCAGCCATTGCACTCTAAAAAGAGACACACGAGAAAGATTAGATCAGACAATGGTATAGCGCCATACTGACATACGTTAGAGACTAGCAAACATACCTGAGCTCCAGCTTGTGCTCCACCACCGGCTGCCCCAGCGCCTTCTCCACCAGTAGGTGTGGGACCAGCTGGCCCGCCACCACCTTGCATAGCCGCGTTTGCAGCAGCATCTCCTGCACCCGTATCATCCCCCCCAAGCAACTGTTGGAGCCCGCTGAATAGTTTTGGGATACATGTAGCAAAGGCGCAAAGCGAAAGAAAGATCAAAGTGTACCAATTTGTATTGCCCTCCTCCGACCTGTTTTCATCGCTGCTATTCAAAGTCTTCAAATCATCGGACTCGTTTTCCGTTGACGTATCGGACTTGCCTAGGTCTAACTTTGCTTGCTGTCGTTCTCGGAATGCCAATTGGATTTTCCTCGCTGCCTTTTCAGCATAACCATAAAGCATGAGGGCCTCATCGAGGTCTCGGGTCTGGTCTTCAATTTCTTGCTTGCTGTAGGTCCTGCTGCTCCTGGTTAGAATGGAACGATTGGATGCGGAAAGATTGGAGCGATTGGATGTGGACAGATTGGAACGATTGGATCGTTCCAGTTTGCGTTTCCTTTCTTTCAAATCGTCAATGGATCGTTTTGAATGTTGCTTTGAAATTCTACGCTGCTTGGAATTCCTAGAGCGGACGGAGTGGTTGGAAGGTGTTGTAGCTGATTCAAAATCGGACAGATTTTCAATATCCCCACTTTCAATTGTATCCAAACTCATTCGCCTGAGAAACTCAATGGGCACCTCGATCTCATGCTGTTGTCTGGAGGGACTTCCCCCAATGTCTTCTTCCCAATCTTCATTCCAATGGACACTCATGGCGTCTATCGGCACACTATACTGTACTTTGAGGTCTGGAGATCACAGTTTGCTTGCTTGACCAAACGTCCACCGCTTGCTTTGTTTTTTTTACTGGAGTCTCCGCATTCGCCTTTATCCTCGTGCTTTCGGGCAAAAGCCATTCACGTTCACTTAATAAAATGATTTAAGCGTCACAGTTCGCTTTCAGCAGAGGCGCGAAAAAACCACGAAATCGATAATTGTTGGTGAGATTTCACGAATGTCTAATATATAACGAAATTTTGTCATTTATGTTCTTGACCACACTGGATCATTGCACGCAACATTGCACAGATTAAATACCACCGACACGCTACAGTAGAGGTAACAGGGACCAAGGGTAGCTGGTACGGTACCCCGTACCAGTACCGTATGCTTTGCGCTAATTCCAAAGTTCTCTACCGGTACGAGTGCTATCAGGAGCAACCAAACAAAGAAAACAAACCACAATAACGTTGCAAAATATATTAAATATGTACTAGGCCAATTAGTTATCTATTGCTGGAGGGGTACTGTACACGTACGTGTACCTGATACAGCTCGTTTGGTATGGTGTCCACGGAGGCAGTTAGAAAATTGATTCACTTGACCCAAGTGGATTGTGCACATCCAACGATGTCGCTGCAACAGGAAACATGCATGCAGCCTTTTACAGACATCACAATAACCATAATCCTTTGTCCCCGATGTTTTAAAAAAAAATAGAGAGATTCGAGTCATGTACTGTCCAATTTGACATACGGTAGAGAAGAAGGCATACATTGTCTCCATTCCTTGAATTTTAACTCTAGACTCTTGCTCTCTCATCTTTTATAGTGCAATTAACCCTGCCATCTGATACTGCGAACCACTTTTGAAGGCTGTTGTTTCGTGTAGAAGAAAAGGATATCGTTAGTCCATTTTGTCGAGAAGAAAACAGAAACGTCAAAGCCTTGCAAAATAAACTTACTCTCCACCTCTTGTTGCCCCGTTGGTTTCGGCTGTTTTTGCTGTTCTTCTCTTGCTGCTTGCGACTTGCTGGCACCCAAGGAACTTGCCGCAGTTCGCATATCAATACTGGAATCATCTTTGAGAGTGGTGTTTTTAGAATTTCTTCGTTTCTTCATCTTCATATAGACCACACTGGTTGCGAGTAGTACAACACAAGCCCCAAAGGCAATGATAATAATGGCCAGGTCCGAAGTCACTTTTTCTTTTGTTTGGAAGGAGGATAGATTCCCATTGGCAGCCGCCAAGGAGAGTGGATGCACACAAAAGTCTTCCGTTCCGTCGCCCATAAAATCAGCGTGTCCACTGCATCCAGGAATCTTGTCCATGCCCAGTTTGCGTTGGTAACACAGTAGACTACCTTGACAATCGGAATCCTTGTCGCAATCCGCTTGACAGACTTGGAGGCCATTCAGTCCATTGCCAACTACTTCCAGCTCGGTAAAACTAGCCGTGGGCAAAATACAATAGTCCTCGTCGCCATCTCCCAGTTGATCCGGGTTTCCGCGACATCCCGGGACCATGTTGGATCCTCTGGCACGTTGGTAACAGACTAGGTTTCCCTGACAATCATCGTTGGAATCGCAATCCGCCTGACAGACAGACAATCCAGTGACATTGTTGTTGCCTGTTACTTCCAAAGCCGGCAAGATGCAAAAGTCTTCCCCGGAGTCTCCAATCAAGTCGGCATTGCCACTGCAACCGGGTACTTCTCGGGAACCTTCGCTTCGTACGTGGCAAATCAGTCCATCTTGGCATTGGGCGTCCGAGTCGCAGTCTGCCTCGCAGAGTCCCAAACTTCCGAGACCGTTGCTCACCATGGATAATTCAGGATATTGGCCTGTTGGTTCGAGCGTGGGCGCATTTGTAGGTAACTTGGTGGGAGATTGGGTGGGACTTGTAGGTAACTTGGTGGGCGATTGGGTGGGACCCTTTGTGATTTTCGCAGTGGGTATGAGTGTTGGAGTAAGAGTAGGCACTTTGGTGGGCCCAACCGTCGGTTTGCGAGTGGGAAGGCCTGTGGGCTTGCCCGTTCCTGCCACAGTGGGAGCCGCGGTAATGAGGACATCCGGTTCAGGGCAGACAAATTCGTTATCCGAATAATCAAAGGCAGTCCATCCCAATCTTGGTCTGTGTCCTTCTGGAACGACTAGAGAACGACCACCTCCTGGTGAAAAGGCAAAGGTCTCCACCTGGGTGAACCCAGTAGGAGAGTCCCACAATCGGCAATACTTACTGCCGGCATTGGGTGCCGCCAAGGCGTCCGCGACAGAGGTTCCGGGGCATCTCAAAAAGAGAGTGGAATTTTGGGTTGTTGCCAGTCCAATCAAGGTACCATCAAAACTCATTTCGCCACCACGCCATGTGTTGCCCATTAGCTAAAGGTCAAGTTTGTTTTCATTGGTGAATGAAGCATAGATTGCGTTAGTTGGACTCGTTCTTGGTATTGATTATTGTTTCAGTTGATGTTGTTGCTTACCTGTCCGTCCGTGACAAGAGTCCATCTTCCCGATGCATCTGGAACTCCATCCCAGTCATAATGTCCCACCGCAAAGGGAGAATAATGACCCTTTTGACCCATTGGGGGCCAAGCTGAAGGTGGGATCTTCAAGAGTCTTGTGAACTGATAATAGGCCTGCCACCCTCGATCAAACTTGGTTACAAAGTAAACGTCACCAACCGCACCTCCTTCACCCCATCCCTTGTGATCCACAAAGACAGCTTCCACATCGGCATAGGCAGTTGGTGAGGATGGATGAGAGTAATCCACAGTCAAGACGGAGATATGAGAATCCGGAATGAAATCGGTATCGGCATAGTCTTCCAACTGAGGTTCCCGAATCTTGAGAATATAGGGCGGAAAATGAGCCCGATTGGTTCGCCTGCCCCTCGATGCTCGTGCCGTATTGTCTCCAGTATCCGCAACATACAAACAGGTATCTTGGAGACCGGCATTTCCACAAGATCCAACCGTCATGGCCTCCCAATCCCAATTGTGCGCCGTAAAGTTGGAAAGCTGCAGGGTTCGAAGGCGCTCCCCATTTCCTGGATCCCACATTCCAATTCGTTGGCCAGATCCTCCATCGGAAAAGGCATAAATGACAGGCTCTCCACTGGGGGCTCGTTGTTTGGGCGAAAAGGCGAGGCCCGAGATTTCACCGTATCGGTCAATGGGGCCTCGGGTATCCAGTCTCAAGTTTTGGCCATTGGGTCGAGTGGCATTGTAGATGCGGCCGATTCGAGGACACGAGGCACGGGCGTCTGTGTGAGTAGTAGCCGCTGTTAGTAGCAACAGAACGGCCAAGACTTTGCGCATAATTGTGGCTGTCATGATGTATGGTTGTCGTTGTTTGGATGTCGTTGTTTGTAGTTTGTTGCTGTTGATTATTATTCCAATGAAACAAAGAAGCTATAGATTGCCTGATGTTTGTTGCTTGTAACGAGTGTATCAAATGGTTTCACAGCAGATAGAGTATGAATGAACTCAAGAGGTAATCAAACACTGGTCAGATATCTTCTTCTACAGTACAATCAGGACAGAACAATCAAGTTGTGCAGTGTTTGTCTTTGGTGTCTTCCTTCTTATCGTCGACTTGGATTTCAACACACACTTCGAACGACAAATCATAGAACAAACCCACGCCGAGTCGTTTTGCGCGGATTAAGTGTTCCACCGATGGTTGCCAACTATTTAGATGCGTTTCGCCTAGATATTATACAGACCAGACGCTGAACGGAAAATGTGTATCGCAATGCCCGCCGTATTTTTCGCCAGCCAACCGAAATCCCGCCGAAAAAGTGGACTTGCCGACGTCAAACTATCCGATCCACTTTTCAAATACCTACACGGAGTGGTCGGATTTTAGTCGAGGGCGGAAAGAGTAGTGTACGTTGTACAATGCGGTACATGTATCCTTTGCTTGTGCCAAGATTGTGGTTATTCAGAGACTGTGGATTGCAAGAGTAATGTTATTATCCTGTTTGTTCTTCATTAGCAATTTGTTACCAACTGTCTCCTCCTCCCCCGCCATCGGAAGATCCACCCGAATCACTACTACTGCTGCTGTCATTGTAGTAGTAGCTAGTGTTTCCATCTCCATCCACGGTACTCCCATCATATTTTCGAATGGGTCTAGTTTGGGTATAGACATGGCCGCAATTGGCACAGGTTCCAATCAATTCTTCTTCTCCTTCTTGCTCGTCTGTGGCTTCCAAAGTCACCTTATAGTCAGTCTCCCAAGTATCCCTATTCGCATTGCAACTGGGACAGTTCACCTTTATAGGATACCTGGCTTCATTTGCAAAGAAAAAAAAGAGCGAAAATGTCAATCCATATGCAAATAGACTCATGCGTGCTCCGCCACTCATATTGCCGAACCAATTCTTCCTGTTGGAGAGCAGCAGCAGCTCGCCACCACGATCCACTTCGTCCAATCGTTGGCTCACTCTTTGGACAGTCGCCAAAAGTCCCTTGCCATATTGTTCTTGACGAAAGGCGGGACTCGCTGTTTCTTGCAAGGTGGTTTGACACCATTCTTTACTAAAGGCAGCATCCAAGGCTTGGCCCACTTCCAACTCAGTCCGGCGTTCGTCCAAGACCACCAACAATAAGACTCCATTGTTCTTTTGGGAGCTTCCTAGTTTCCATTGATTGAATAGAGTGGTCGCCATCTTCTTGGGGGTGTAACCCTTTTCCACTTTGTTGACAATCAAAATTTGAATCTCACTTTGGGTCTTTTGTTGGGCTTCGTTCATGGCTTGAATGATGTTGGGGACATCGCGGTCGGGATCCAAGACGCCAGCTAGATCCATGATGGATGCGACTCGGGGCATTCCTTTTTTGGCAATCGAGGGTACTGCTATCTGTGTATTGGTGGTGGTGGTGGTGGTGGTGGTGGTTGGATCTGGTGTAGTGACCACGAAAGACGTGGATGCCGAAATGGATGATGCAATCACTGCTTGACCGATTGGCATTATTGTAATGGCTGTGCTCGCTGGATTCGGGAATGCATTGGCTGGTGGAACGACATTACCCAACGTTGGTGATAATGAGAGAATGGACAGTAGAGTCGCGAGAACCAAACCTTTGGCTTCTCGGTGGCTGCGACAACCACTTGATTGTGATTGGGACACGACATTCGGGAAGGATTGGTACCTCTCGTTTTCCGCTACTTTATTCACACGATCAGTCTTTGCCTGCAGAGTAAACCGTGGGCTTTTGGGAAGGCTTTTGGGAATGGAGGCCCGCGTTGCAACGGAAGAAAAAGATTCAACGCCATGATGTTCGATGAAATTGAAACTACTGATGTAGTAGCTGAAGAGCAACATGAACACGGGAGACATGCTGCGTCGACGGCCCAGCATGAATCGATTGATGAATTGCGTCAGCGAGGAAGGTGGGTTTGTAAGCAATTTCCTATTTGGTTATCAAACATCTCTTCGTTGCGTTGACACGGTTATTGTTTGGACGCTTCGAATGTGACATCATCCATCAACACATGTCTCATGGCGATGGCGGGTAGGGCTTCTTTAGTCTTTCCTAACAGAAACCAAAGAAGATACTGTATCTAGGACCTAGGGCTTTACCCCTTCCTATTTCTTGTTTTCACGTTTTGCGTATACATAAAAAATGGGATAACTTGTGCGCTTCTATATTCGAGATACTGTGCTGCACATGGCTTACACTGCAGGCTGTCCCAATCATTCTTTGGGAGAAAATTTCGTGGCCACTTTTTCTTTCTTCGTGACATCAAATGAATCATTTGGTGTTGGTGTTGGAACGAATGGGTTATGTGTAGAAGCTCCAAGACAGAACATTTGTGTCACGTTGCACAATTGTGTTCTTTGCAGCCGTTCGGCGGTACTTGACTCCAACAATTCCAATTGTATTGTGGATTCATTCATTCATTCATTCCTCTGATGTCCTTGCTAGAATAATAATGGATCAAAGACCGAATCGGCGTTTTCACCGCTCTGTTCTCTCCCACTCATCACCGCAAACTACTACTACTAGTAGTAGTAGTAGTAGTAGTAGTAGTGCTGTTCTCTGCCTTGATTTCGTCTAGCCACTGTCGCAAAGTTATAGTGGCATCCCTGTGGCCCTGAACAATGTCATCCGTATCATCACTACTTGGCCATGAGTTTCCAAGATCACTATGGTGTGCTCCATTGGGGAAATTGAAAATGGCAATATTGGGATTGGTATTCTGCAGAATGCTGCTTGTCGACCAACCATCTTTCATACCATTCTACAGCGAGAATTTCAGAAAGAAAAAAAAGTAGCATGTCAGCAAAAAGTTGAAAATGGGAAATCAAGTACAAAACAGTACTGTAGCTTTACTGTAACTGTACTGTACTGTACTCGAAAGAAACACGCAAGCATGAAAAGATAAGACTCACCGTAAACAAGATCCGTGATGCATGACTTAGGTCATTGAATCTCCACTCGCTGACCATTCGAAAGGGTTCCATTGGAACACCCTCGAATCGTTCATGACAATGCGCCGACAACCAAGCATACTGAAATGGCTGCGGGAGAAACATGCTCTTAACCGAGGCCGATGCCCGAATGATCAAGTCCTTGCAACATTGAAACTCCCAAATCTCGCCCGTGAATCCACCGCCAGTTCCAGAACTGTCTGCTCCCCGAATTCGAGCGTTGGGGCCACTCGGAAGCTCCAAGGACAAGTCAAAGCATTTAGACTTTTTGGCCAATCCATAGTCCACTTGCCCCCGAAGGTCGTACAATTTGGAAATCTTCTTCAAGGGCGCATGATTGGAATTTTGAAAAATATGGCACGCCCGCTCCAAGGCTGTTTTGGGACCAGGCGGGTAGTATGCCATGTTGAAATCGGCAAAGACTGCCGGTACCAAGTAGATGATGGTTTCACTAATGAATTCGGTAATGTTTTGTATATAGGCTGGAAAATTGTGGGTGCAGAATCCCGTCGCCTTGGCGGCTTCCTGCACCGACGTGTATTGGGTCAATAGCTCGTCACGGGCCGCATAGAGCGTGTCTCGGACGGCAGCCGTGCATCCAGTGGACGCCGCTTCCGCAACTTCGGATACTTTATCAAAGTAGGCATCCGCCGCCACGGTCTGTGCGTAAAGTTCCAGTGGAGCACTGGATGCGTAGGCAATATCCACCACCTGAGGAAAGCGGAATCTCAACATGGCGGACAAAAAGCCGGGATAGGATGCGCCAAAGGTAATGACGGGGCAGTAGTCCGTTGAAAATTTGTCAAGACTGCATCCAAGGCTCTCCCGAGTGGTCTGAATGAGGGTAATAACATCCAATAAAGCCTGGTCTGGTGATAGATATCGAACCAAGTCGTCGTTGGTTGGATCGTCGACCGGTTGTGACTTGCCATAGAAGCGATGTTCTGGAGATAGCACGTAGGCATGGAACTCTTTGGCCAGACCCTTGCGCACATACGGATACAGCATGGGTAGATCCAAGCTATCTTCGCCACCCAAAATGACAAGAATCGGATGTCCAGGTCCCTTCCAATACTTGGAAACTTTGTAAAAGCGTTGGGGGTACACTCCCTTGTTCAATGGATTCAAGTGATCGACCAATTGATTCTCAAAGAACATTTCATGTTTGTCGTAATGTCCTTCCAACAAGACATTTCTGTGGTGTCTCGACGAGGTACCAGAAATGGTCAAATTGCCTTGTTTGTCGCCCACAAAATCTCCAGTGGTGAAAGCTCCAAACGCCACAATCGCCAAGATGGTCAACATGAAGAGGAATCGTGACGCTCGTTCGACTTGGACTTCTCTGTCAGCATGATGGGGGGCAGTACCTCCACTACCTTGTGGCGGCTGTGGTGGATCCAATGAATGCGATTCTGATTTCTCTTCATCAATCGATTGTGGAGCAATGCTTCCATATCCTCCTAGCATGATACTCGTATGTACGAAAACTTGGAATCGGGAAAGATTCGCCAGTGACGTGTTGTGAGAATCTTTTGTATGATTATTGTCTCCTAATATCTATGTATATTGTATGGTACAGTAGTATCGTCTCCGGGCAAGAGAGTCCAAAAAAATGAAGTATGCTCCTCCAAATTCACGGTACAACCAAAGTTGGCAAGAGTGTCAACTGTTTGTGTATTGTCGGAGAGTATTGTTGTACCTATAGTATAATGTTCCGGTATTTTGCCTCATTCCATTTTTTCGTCTTGTCAGAAACGACGTCACGGTTGCCAGACAGACAGACGTTGACCGAAAATACAGATTCTGAAACAAACCGGGAAGTTTGTGTGATGTCTTGTCAGAGCGAGGGGCAATTGCTGCTCAAGACTCCTACTATAATATATATAGTACTGTATATATTATACTTATACAGCCAGCTTTGGTGCCTCTTTTACGCTCTTTGCCTCTCGCGAGGTTTCAGCCTTGTTGTTGCTGCTGTTGTTGTTGTTGTTGTTGTTGTTGAGAAGCAGATCGTCAGGCGGGGAAGAAGGTAGCCATCCGTCATCATGGTAATGTTCACAAAACTATGGATGGCCAACCAGCACAACAACAATGACGATAATGATGATGAGGAACGCAATAACAATAACAACAACAGTAGTAGTGAACGTCAGAGTCTCCGTCCAAACCAACGCCCGCAAAGTCAGCATCAAAAGCAGCCATCCAAGAAGAATGTCCCACAAAACCCACCACCACGCACCATTGAATACGGATCCATTTTCGCTCAAGCAACTGCTGCGGAACAAGAAGCAGATGCTAACAACCACGATCACGACCACGACCACAAGACTGTGACATGGGGAGATAAGAACAACAATGACAATGGTGTTGACAATTATGAAAACAACCTTTACAATGGGGATTCAGAAGACAATTCAAATGATGGAGAAGAAGAAGCAACCTCCAATTCGCAAGAAGCAGACTTGCCCAGTTTGACGGCGGCCTTTCAAAATTTGGAAAATCGACCCATCATTATCAATTGTTTGATTTATCTGGCCCTCTACATGACCATTGCCGTCGTTGCCTATTCATTTGTCTTGGAGCAATGGACCATTATTGACAGTCTGTATTTTGCCGTGGCGACCTTGTAAGTAACCCAAACCAACCAAACAACATTGCATTATATTGATACAATGCAATGCAATGCAACGCTAGTTACTATTGCATGATTTGCGAATGCAACTGGAAAATGGCCACTCACACTACTACTACTGCTACTACTACTGCTGCTACTACTACTACTACTACTTTCTATGATCCCGATTCATACTAGCACGACTTGTGGATATGGGGATTTGGAACCCAGCACGCCCATCGGTCAAGTCTTTACCATTTTCTTTGCCATTTATGGGGTGATTATTCTGGGCGTCTTCATTGCCATTTTTGGGTCCTTCATTTCGGAATATCAGACCAAGGCCATGAAAAAATTTCAGCGCAAAAAGCAAGAGCAAATGTTGGAAACCCTATTTGATACTTCCACCATTACCAGCACATATAGTGCAAGCAGTAGAGGCAGCAGAGGTAGCCGAAGCGAACATGCTTTTGTTGCAACGACGGCAACAACGACGACAATGACGAATGCTCAGGATGCGGGCAAACAACCTACTGCTTTGAAGGATGACATGAGTAAAGAAACAGATGAAACGGAACCGATTGAAGAGTCAGGGTTTTGGAGAGATCATGTTTCCTTGGCCGATGATTGTTGGAAAGTTGTATATTCCGAAGCTCCCTTGATTGGCTTGGTGGCCGTCATGTCTTTGATATTGGGACTTCGTGAAGGTTGGAACCCTATCTCGACCATGTATTTTTGCATCATGGCCGCCACGACAACAGGATACGGAGACTATACACCGGTCAATCAATTGGACAAGCTGTATTGTGTCATCTTGTTGCCCTTGGCCGTGGCCGTCTTTGGAGAAGTCCTGGGAAGGATTGCCACGGTGTATATTTCACGCAAACAGCGTGTCGCACAATTCAAATTTCTGCATCGATCGTTGACCATGTGCGATATCCGTAACATGGATTCAGATGAAGATGGCAAGGTCGATCGGGAAGATTTTGTCATGTTCATGTTGGTCGCTCTTCAAAAGGTCGACAAAGATACGATCAAGGAACTTCAACGGATTTTTGATTCGTTGGACAGACTAGGAGATGGCTTTTTAGATGAGGCGGATATTACCGCATTGGCGGAAGAAAACTATTTGCCCACAGTCGAACGGATTCGGGAAGAATATATAGAGGCGGAAGTGGATGAACAATTAATAGAGGACCTACCCGTGGAAGAAGACGAAGAACCGGAAGAATCATCGTCGCCCAACGGTGCTGCTAGTCCGACGAGCAGAAAGCATCGACGATTCCACACAGTTTTATAAAACTGCTTCGTAATGGTAGAGGAATCATCGTGGTCATGAAAAACTGATTGATGAGTGCTTGCCGAGAGGCCTTCCAATGCATTCTCGATTGTGTGTATCAAAAGGAGGTCAGTTGCTTGTACAGTCCTTGGATGGAAAATAAATAGTACGAGATATGGAAGTGTCGTCACAAATAATGATACGAGCTGGAGCTGATGCAGGTTTATCATAATCTTAGAGAGCCTCAAAGCTAGAACTTTCAGTGGGGAAAAGATTCGATTCTAGCCAAGTAATCCTCATAAAGACTCCATCACAGGTGATCGTCGTGACAGCTTTACCGGTACTCGTACTGAATTTTAGGACCTGCCATCTTTTTCCTACACGGTACAGTACAGTACTGTAGTTGAATCGCCTTCAAGGTTGGCAGACAGGCGCGAAGCGAAAGTACAGATTTAGGAGACCGACCTCGTCTGTTGTATCTGGTGTGTTGCCTGGTCACTTTTCACTTTTTTGAAAGCTTCTAATGCTCAATAAACGTGGAGTCTCACTGCACTTTCGGTGCAAATGCAATGGCTCAGGAACGGTCCAACTCTACTGCTAATACATAATATTCTGCATATTCCATCTACTTTAATTTCAAAAGATTAGTAGTACTAGTATTAGTAGTACTAGTAGCATGGATAAGAATCTCATCTCAATGCCCATGGTCCAGCGAAGTCTCATTCATGATGCCCTCTAGGTTCATACTGTTTACCTATTGTTAAGTCTCCAGTATTTGTACACCAAATAGTTTAATCAATCTAGCTGCTATTTTCTGCCTTGATGTCGTCCAACCAACCTTGCAAGATCACGGTAGCTTGCTTGTGGCCCTCGACGATGTCATCAGTATCAGCTGGATTTGGCCAATGCATTGAAAGGTCACTGTGGTGGGCTCCGTTAGGAAGGTTGATAACAGCAAGGTTTGGGTTATCAGTTGACAGAATACTGCTCGTAGACCAACCATCTAGCAGACCATTCTGTGAAAGACAAGTAGTAGATAGAAGAAGAAATCAAAGAAAGCGGGTTAGCATCACATCCGATAAAATCAATTCATTCAATCCACTACAACATAAAACCATTTACTCACCGTGAACAAGATTCTTGAGGCTTGGCTCAAGTCGTCAAATCCCCACTCGCGAACCATGCGGTCAGGTTTAAATGGGACACCTTCGAATCGTGCTTGACAATGCTCTTGGAGAAATTCAGGGGAATAGGGTCGAGGAATGAACATGCTCTCTTCCGAGTACGACGCACGAATGATCAAATCCTTGCAACATTGAAACTCCCAAATCTCGCCAGTGAATCCGCCACCAGATCCAGAAGTGTCTGCTCCACGAATTGTGGCATTGGGTCCGCTTGGAAGCTCCAAGGTTAGGTCGAAGCACTCGGGCTTGTGGTCGGCTCCATACTCAACCTCTCCACGAAGATCGTAGAACAGGGAGATCTTCTTCAAGGGTGCATGAATGGGATCTTGGAAAATTTGGCAAGCCCGTTCCAAGGCTGTTTTGGGGCCTGGTGGATAGTAAGCCATGTTGAAGTCGGCAAAGACTGCTGGGACCAAATAAGTGATGGTTTCACTAATGAATTCTTCAATGGTTTCCATGTAGTCTGGGAAGGTTTTGGCGCAGAAACCAGTTAATTCAGCAGCCTCTTTGACGGAAGTGTAATAGGTAGTGAGTTCGTCTCTGGCGTCGAAAAGCGTGTCGCGAACGGCAGCTTCACAGCCAGGCGAGGCAATCTCCGCAACCTCGGACACCTTATCAAAATACGCTTGGGGCGCCACGTTTTGGGCGTAGAGATCCAATGGAGCACTGGCGGCATAAGAAATATCGATCACATCAGGGAAACGGAATCGCAACATTGCCGACAAAAAGCCAGGGTAAGATCCTCCAAAGGTAATGACGGGACAGTAGTCTTTGGAAGATTTATCAAGGCTGCATCCAATGCTCTCGCGGATGTATTGAATGAGGTTGACGGCATCCTCTAGGGCCTGGTCGGGTGTCATGAGTTGCACCAGCTCCTCATTGGTGGCGTTGTGGAATGGCTGCGACGCCCCGTAGAAGCGATGTTCTGGAGAGAGAACAAAGGCCCCGAACTCTTTGGCCAAGCCCTTGTTGACCCATGGATACAACATTGGAAGAATCAACTCATCTTCCCCGCCCATAATGACAATGATTGGATGCCCAGGTCCCTTCCAATACTTGGAGACCTTGTAATAGCGTTCGGACCATGTCTCATCGCTAGAAGGATCCATATGGTCAAGAATTTGCTCATCAAAGTAGAGTTCCTGAGCATCGTAATGTTTGTCCAACAAAACATTTTTGTGGTGCTTGTGCTTGTGCTTGCCGTGCTTGTGTTTGGCAGACATTGTCAAGCTAGACTCTTCCGAGTCTCCTCCCATGAAAAGGGCCACACACGCGACAACGCACAAGACACTCAGGAACACTCGTGATGTAGTCCCGAGGGCTTGGCGGCGTTGTCCTTCATGAATTACGCTGCTGTCTTCTGGCGCAAGCGCTTTGAGTGGTTTTTCTTCATCTGCTGATCGATTGACAGCAACGCTTCCGTATCCCGAGTTATTAGATGGCATAGTTGTGAGATTATGAGAATGTAAGATGCTATGCGGTATATACTTGAGAGTCAATGAATCGGTCTTCCTCCTTCTTGTCTCCCTGAGTCTTTCTTGTTAGAGCGAAAGGATTCGAAAATGTGAGAGCCTCAAAGATCATTCTGCCGGAGTGATTGGTCGGAGTTGATCAGACGTGTGTTGGTGTCACGAAAATGCAAATGACGATTTTGACTGGAAGATTCGATTTTTAGAGTACAGATGTAGCTGGAAGATTCGATAATGAAGTACAGATGTAGTCGCAAATAACAACAGAACGGCTCGAAAATAGTACCTTACATGTTGTAGCCGAGTTTCATCATGGTACTAGTGCTGATCTTGGAACATCGTCTCAGGTGATGGATCTCTGCAAGGTGAGATGCTCCTCGATCTTACAATACATCGAAGTATTGCTATATTCTTAATTGTTTTACACTTCTTGTTATCGGCTGAACGCTTTTTTCAACAACACAAACTGAAGCCATAATGGTGACCAAATACCACCCATCTACCTTTCAACACCAACATATTCTTCAAACACATACTTGACCCTCTCATTATGGTAACAATAACCACCAAATTACCCTTTCGGTCGATCAGGGCTTTGGAAATTGTCCCCAATACATCAAGCCCCGCGTTTGGTGGTTTCAGGTTGACTACCAATAGCAACTAGACTGTCTGTCCGGAACCTTCCGTTCCATTGACGTGGACAAGGATTTCATCTAAACGTTCACGGTGTAGTAGAATCTCATTAATTATGTCCATGCTTTTAAAAAGCCTTCATACTGGCAAGTCTGTACTATTCGTACAATAATGACAAGCACTTCATCTACGTTTGGTCAATCTAGCTACTGTTTTCTGCCTTGATGTCGTCCAACCAACCTTGCAAGATCACGGTAGCTTGCTTGTGGCCCTCGACGATGTCATCAGTATCAGCTGGATTTGGCCAGTGCATCGAAAGGTCACTATGATGGGCTCCGTTAGGAAGGTTGATAACAGCAAGGTTTGGGTTATCGGTTGAAAGAATACTGCTCGTAGACCAACCATCTCGTAGACCATTCTGCAAAGACAAGTAGTAGATAGAACAAGAAATCAAAGAAAGCGAGTTAGCATCGCATACGATAAAATCAACTCATTCGATGCATTACTTCTTACCGTGAACAAGATTCTTGAGGCTTGGCTCAAGTCATCGTATCCCCACTCGCGAACCATACGGTAAGGTTGAAATGGAACACCTTCGAATCGTGCTTCACAATGCTCGCGGTGCCATTCAGGTGAATAGGGTCGAGGGATGAACATGCTCTGTTCCGAGTATGACGCACGAACGATCAAATCCTTGCAACATTGAAACTCCCAAATCTCGCCAATGAATCCAGCACCAGATCCAGAACTGTCTGCGCTTCGAATTGTGGCATTGGGTCCACTTGGAAGCTCCAAGGACAGGTCGAAGCACTTGGGCTTGTGGTCCAATCCGTGATTGACCTCCCCACGAAGATCGTAGAACAGGGAGATCTTCTTCAATGGCGCATGGATGGGATCTTGGAAAATTTGGCAAGCCCGTTCCAAGGCTGTTTTGGGGCCTGGTGGATAGTAGAACATGTTGAAGTCGGCAAAGACTGCTGGAACCAAATAAGTGATGGTTTCACTAATGAATTCTTCAATGGTTTCCATGTAGTCTGGGAAGGTTTTGGCACAGAAACCAGTCACTTCAGCAGCCTCTTTGACGGAAGTGTAATAGGTAGTGAGTTCGTCTCTGGCGTCCAAAAGCGTGTCACGAACGGCAGCCTCACAGCCAGGCGAGGCAATGTCAGCAACCTCGGATACCTTATCAAAGTAGGCTTGAGGCGCCACGTTTTGGGCGTAGAGATCCAATGGAGCACTGGCGGCATAAGAAATATCAATTATATCTGGGAACCGGAATCGCAGCAAGGCCGACAAAAAGCCAGGGTAAGATCCTCCAAAGGTAATGACGGGACAGTAGTCTTTGGAAGATTTATCAAGGCTGCATCCAATGTCTTTGCGAACGTGTTGAATGAGATTAATGGCATCCGCTAGGGCCTGATCGGGTGTCGCCAATTGCACCAATTCCTCGTTGGTGGCGTTGTGCAATGGCTGCGACTCGCCGTAGAAGCGATGTTCTGGAGAGAGAACAAAAGCACCGAACTCCTTGGCCAAGCCCGTGTTAACCCATGGATACAACATGGGAAGAAAAAGCACCCCTTCGCCGCCAATAATGACAAGGATCGGGTTTCCAGGTCCCTTCCAGTACTCGGAAACCTTGTAGTAGCGTTGGGAATATGTCTCGTCGTTGGAAGGATCCATGTTGTCAAGAACTTGTTCGTAGTAGAGCTCTTGACGATCGTGATGTTTGTTCAACAACACGTTTTTGTGGTGCTTGTGCTTGTGTTTGGCAGACATAGTAATGCTCGATTCTTCTCCTCCATCTTGGATGAAAAGGGCCACACACGCAACAACGCACAAGACACTCAGGATCACTCGTGATGTAATTCCGAGGGCTGGCCGGTGTTGTCCTTCATGGTCTACGCTGTTGTCTTCTGGCGCAATCATTTTGAGTAGTTTTTCTTCATCTGCAGATCGATTCACAGCAACGCTTCCGTAGCCCGAGTTATTGGATGGCATGGTGGTGGTGAGATTATGAGAATGTGAGGTTGTATACGGTATATACTTTAGGGTCAATGAATCGGTCTTCCTCCTTGTCTCTCAGAGTCTTTCTTGTCAGAGTGAAAAGGTTCGAAAATGTGAGGCTTCCAAGGTTTCGGACACCAGGTAGTGTTTGGTCGGAGTTGACCTGATATTGGCATGATGTGTTGGTGTCACGAAAATGCAATTGACTATTTTGACTGCGGAGGGTTTGATTTTAAAGTACAGATGTAGTCGCTACAACGATCGCTCAAAAACTGCCTGAGAAATTCATCATCATAACAGTGTTGATCTTGGAAGTTCCTTTCAGGTGATGGATCTCCACAAGATGTGATGCCAATCGATCTCACAATACAATGATTCATCAAAGACTTTCTCTACTACACTTATTGATCATCGCTTCCACCCTTTCAACAACAACAACTGAAACCATTATGCTGACCAACGACCACATTTCTACCTTTCAACACCAACACATTCTTCAAACACATACTTGGCCCTTTCATCAAGGCGAGCTTCAAGTGCAACTCAAGTTGGGGGCCTACGAATACGTCAACTCGTACGCTCCCAAGATTATACGTCCCTTCATGCCCGAACAACACAGGGAGTTTTATAAAAGCCAACCCTTTTTGGTGGCTGCCGCCAGAGATGAGAATGGCAAATTGTGGTCGACTCTTCTGTTTGCTTCTACACAATCACCATCAAATCACAGACCATTTTTTGTCCAGAGTCCGGATTCGAAGACTCTGCTGCTAGCTACCACACCTCTACCAGGAGATGCCTTGGAAGGTTCGCTTCAGGTTGGCAGCGATTTGGGATTGTTGGGAATCGAATTTGCTACTCGACGACGCAACAGAGTCAATGGTCGAATCATCAGCAATGGCAATAATGACAATGGTGGCAAAAATAACCACCAAATTACCTTTTCGGTCGATCAGAGCTTTGGAAATTGTCCCCAATACATCAAGCCCCGCAATCGGTGGTCGACAAGAAGCGACAACACAAACAACAACAATGTCTGCCCAGAACCTTCCGCTCCAGTGACATCCACCAAAGAGGGACGACCCAATCGATTGTCCCCAGAACAGTTGGAAAAGGTTCGTCAAGCCGAAACCATCTCTTTGGCCACTGGATACCGTGGCCATGGTGCAAATCCTGTCTATGGAAACGATGCGTCTCACCGGGGTGGTTCGGCTGGATTTCTGCACGTCCGAGAAGATGCTCGAACTATTATCTTGCCCGACTATAATGGGAATCATCACTTCAACACCATTGGGAACCTGATTCTAGATTCCAGTATGGGAATCACAATTCCACTCTACGAAAAAGGTGAAATGATCCAATTGACGGGACAAGCCACTATTATTTGGGATGACAATCACGAATTGATTGCCCAGCACGTGGGTGCCAAACGACTCATTCAGTTTGTCATTGACCAGGTTGTGGAATTACAAGAAGGGAGTTTCCCGTTGCGCTGGGACACCTCACAGCAAGACCAACGAATGACCCTTCAGGTGAAGCGTAGGGTCAAGGAAAGCGACACGGTAGCGAGCTTTTACCTCTCTAGTGTCCCCGGAGAAAGTCCCAAACTTGCCTCGTTCCAAGCGGGCCAACATCTTCCAGTGACTATTGAAACCCCAAAGGGTTCCTTGGAACGATCCTACTCGCTTTCCAACTACGATCCCAATGGGGGCGAATACCGCATTTCCGTTCAAAGGGAACCCATGGGCCAGGCGTCTACCTTTTTGCATGATTCTATCAAGGTGGGAAGTTTGATTCAAGCCAGCAAACCAGCAGGTGGCTTTGTGTATCCTTCTTCTTCTGAGGACACGACCTTCATCTTTCTCAGTGCTGGCATTGGAGTGACTCCTGTCCTTTCCATGCTTCATGCATTTGCTGCTGATAAAAGTCGCAAGCAATCCTCAGCTCTCTGGATTCATTCAGCCAAGGATAGTGATCATCATCCATTTACTGACGAAGTCAAACTGTTGCAATCTAAAGTACTAGCCAGCGATGACAGCAAATCGATGAAATCCATTGTGACCTACACCCGAGAAGAGCAGTCCATTATTGCGCAAGATGACAACGACGAGAATATGGATAACGACCGTAGAACCATTTACCATACGGGCCGTCTCCAGGAAACCTTGCTCAAGGATCACATAACACCAGCATTATTGGGCACAAAGAATGCTCAAGCTTTTCTTTGTGGACCAACGAATTTTGTAGTGGATATGGAAGGGATTCTCATCAACTTGGGAATAGATGCTTCCAAGATTCAACATGAATCTTTCTAAAGTAATAGCTGATGTACTGTAACTACTCGTATAGGTACCTAGTCTTTGGCACTATCCATTGCGCTACCAAGTACCGGTACTGGGTACATACACAAAACCATTGCGGTTTCCTTGGATTTCTCATTTTCGTGGACAGAAGAAGTCCCGATCGAGCAAATGGCACTTCCTACGGACGTGTCCGTACTAGGAAATCACCATTTTGAAACCTCTCGTCATCAGTTCGTATGGCATGCATCCAACACCTTTTTGAAATCATAATTCAAAACAGTCACGAGCTGGTTGGGGGTTGTCGACCACCAAGCCTATAGCCCAAAACGACATCTAAAGTCTTATTGTAGTTCACTAGGGAATTAAGCTGTGCGCACAAGACAACCTTTGGGGTTCCCTAAAGCCGTC